TTCCAGTTCATTCTTATTATTTTCTTTAATTATAATAACCCAACTCGGTTTTTTCTTAATTTGTTTGGTTAAATAGTTTACTGGTCCAATTATATTAACTTCATAATAATTTCATTATTTCGAATTTAAATAATCAATTTCAGTTTAAAATTCAGTTTACATAATTTATATAATTTATTTACTAACCCTTTTAATAATAACTTGACTTAGGCAATAATTCGAAATAATAATCATTAATGATAATCTAATCTCAATAACAACTTTAATTAGTTCAATAGTTTATTTATACTACTAACCCAATTAAATTAATTTATACAATCCTCCAGTTTTATTTATTTGACTCACTAATTTAATTGAACTAACTAAATCAAATAAATAAGTTTAATTATATCAATATAGCTAAATACGTTAATCTAATTCAATTAAGTCCAATAATCAAATTCTAATCTCGTTTTAATTTTCTATTTTTAATATAAAGTCCAGAAATGTTATTAAGTCTATAAATTAACTAATTTATCCATTAAACTAATTGATTTAGTTAAACTAGTTCAATGAAGTCAATTAACTAACTTATTAAGTACACATTACTTAATTAATTTGTTTATATTCATCAACTAATTTTTTATGAGTTCAAATAGTTTAATAATTTATATGGAGTCCAAATCACTAATAATCAAGGATAATAATTATTAATTTAAGCACGCTAATTTAATTAGTCAACTAATTCAATAATTTATTTATTAAGTCCAAATATAGTCATTCATTTATACTAGATAACCCAACTTTATTTTCTTTTCCTTATTTTATTACAAACATCATTTTTAGTCCAGAACATTATTTTCAATCTTAGTGATTTATTTATTTCACCATTAATATCAAAATTTCCTTATTTAATTACTTAACTAGTTTATATGGCTCAATTAAATTAAATAACTTAATCATCACTTTTATAAATTACTAATCATCCATAACTATAGTTTGGGTCTATACTTGACCTAGGTTGTCCAGATATGTATTTTAGAATTATTTCCTTTATTTATTCACTTAATTTCATATATCTATTAACCGGTTTAATTACAATTAAATATGCTAATTATAATTTTTATTAATTATAAATGGTCCCAAATGTCCTAGTTAGTCATATATTTAATCTAGCTGGCTCCCATATTTATTTCATAATTATTTTCGTCATTTAGTTAATTATTTACTAAATGTGTACAACTTGGCCCAATTACAATTAAATCAATTAAAAATAGCTACAAATATTATTTTTCAATTATTCTTGGTCCGAATATGTATTTTTATACCAGGTATTTAATTTATATTTTTCCAGATTTTATTTATTTCATTTACTATTTTATTTTTAATTTTTTATTGAAAACGGGCCGACCCGGCCCAAATTCGCGACCCGGCCCAAGAAGACTGGGTTGTCTCCTTCCCAGCTCTTCTCCAGGTCGCGATTCCGGCGACCGGAATCCCGTAAACTCCGGCGAGCGATAACTTTACTTACAGGTAACGGATTTCGACGATTCAAGGTGCAAAATGATCCTCACGTCGAGGAGAAGCTCCGCCACCCCTATCTACGGCAAAATCGTGTCTTTTCTGAAGACCCGTTTCCACGGCTTGCAACTCCGGCGACATCTAGGATGCTCCGGTGACTATGAATCAGTCTGGAATTTATTGGGAAGTATTCCTAGACCTCTCACGACCCTCCTCTATCGTTTTTACGAAGTTTGATACGTAAAATATTATAGGCATGAATTTTCCGGCGAGATTATGTATATATATGTATTTAGCTTCTATCTCTCCGATTTGCAGTGTTTAGGATGGCTAAGAGGGTGTATTTATAGGTCTAGATGGTCCTTATGGTTTATTTTATTTATTTGATAATTGTATGAATAATAATAATAATAATAATAATAATAATAATAATAATAATGTCTATACATAATGATAGGTTGGTAGTTGATGAACATGGCATGTGTATTGATCCCTGATTTGATTCCCATTTATATTGATGTTTCATTTTATTTTATTTTATTTTATTATTTTTAATTACTTAAATGTATTTTGAGTTTTACATATAAATATATATATTTAAATATATGTACATAATGTATATACATTATTTGGTAGGTGATCTTAGCATGTGTCATTGTTTTATGATATGATATTTTCATTTATTAATTTGATGCTATTATTAGTAATTTATAATATTCTTACTATTTTTATTTATTTATTTATTTATTTATTTATTTATTTATTCATTCTGTCACCTACAAGTATATTTTATCTGATTTATTTCCATTTTATTTTTTTTTTATTTTTTTTTTCCGATGCTACATAAGTGTTTAATTCTATTGCATGTAGTGTGCGTATATTTTTATACACCAAGTATAATAAAAAAAATATTTTGATCTTACTTTCATTTGATTTATCAGATATAACTTATCTGATTTATTTATTTATTTTTATTTCAAATTTTCAAGGTATCACATTCTACCCTCCTTAAAGAATGCTTCGTCCTCGAAGCATAAACTAAGACGAGAATTAACTTATCTGATTTATCAGATATAACTTATCTGATTTATTTATTTATTTTTATTTCAGCCGAAGGCTTTTCTGATGCCGAGGGCTTTGGTGATGCTGAAGGCTCCTGTTTTCCGCCGTTTTCTCCTAGTAGCTTCGTATGCCCAAAAAAGGTTATCCTGTGAGTTTTGGAGCCTTCAGCCAAGGAGGCCGAAGGCACCCCAGTGAGTATTCCGGGCTTATTTGAGGCTTGGGCCGTTGCATTTGGGCCTGAGATGTTCCCTGGGCTCAATGGACTTGTGTAGGAGAAGTAGGAGTCTATGGGCCGGGGGTTCCTGGGCCATATACTCCATCACTAATGTGAAATAAACTCTTAACTTGATATAAAGTGCATTAAAAACAAAGCTAAGAACCCATGCAGTAACATTTCTCTTAAAAAAATATTGACTTGCTTCTGAACTCTCTAATGGAACATACTCATTTACCCTCCAGGCCATTTCTTAAAAACACTCTCTTTTAAGTTTAACAAGAGTGGTAGTAATATTTCCTAGGAAGTACTAGTATATGTTAACAATAATAGCGTTATCTTTTCTCAAAGAATTAATATATCTCAGCATGTAAATTAAATAAGAAACACTTTAATTACACAGTATAATAAAGTATAACAGTATGATTACTACGTAGAGCAATAAAAATGTCAAAAATGTCTAAAATAAGGAATGTAAACTTTTATCATAATAGGAGGAGGAATGAACACATACCTGAAAATTTAGCAGCTATTTTCTCCTACTTCCCCTCCTTTTCTCCTCTTTTCTATCCTCACAGTTCTCTCCCTAACTACCTTCTGTTGTTCTGCGTTCCTTCATAGTTGCCTTCTTGTTCATATTAAGGAGCTTTTCTAATTGTCTAAGCTTGCATCTTTAATTTAAATAAAGTGGCCGAGTTTATCCCCTAGGGTGGCCGAGAGGCTCATGTATATGTATAAATAATCCTGATCTGTCAATGTGTTGTTAAGTATAGCATGCATGTAGTTTTGTTTTCTTTCTTGAGTATAGTGGCCAAGTGTCCTAGTCTCAGTAATATTTAGCATGCATAATGCATTGCTTATAGGTGTAGCTAAGTGCTCTCCCTTTTTAATATAGAAACCCAACACCTGTCCACAAAACTTGTATCACAACTTTTTCAATTCTATTGGACCTATGGGGCGGCAAGAGCAATTCAATGACCATAATTCCCTAGTTGTTAATTGGCATTACCAATCAATTGGCCACAACGTGAGTTTTTATCAATCATCTTATATTATATTAATATTAGTTATTACTCGTATTATATATCTTTTAATATTGTTATTATATAAAATTTTATTTGTTTACTTTTTATATAAAATTATATTAACTTTATCTGCTTACTTTTTATATAAAATTTTATGTGTTTACTTTTGTGAAACTGAGGTTGTTACAGAGTTGGAGACTATGAGCCCTTTATGAAAGGGAAATAGATTGAATCGACTAAATCAGTTGAAATTGATGAATTGCAAACTTAAACAGTTGAGTTGACTTAATGTTCTTAGAAATGCAAAAATTATATTGAAATTTCAAATTTTATATGAAGAAATAGTTCAAATGATGCTTGCGATAACTTCAGTCATTTCAGATATAATGTAACTATAATCTTACTTATTTGATCATTACAAAACATAACACATTAAAGATGTTTTTACTTGGACTGAAATTTTCTGCTCTAGTGTGGTCTGGTCTGGTCTGGTAGATGTTTGGTCCCCGTGTATTTTTTAATTGTACAAGTTTAATTTGTTTTGGTCTAATATGTTTTAATATGAAATTGATGACAATTTAAATAAAAACATCATAAATCAAAAATTAGGTATTTGATAAAAAAAGTTGAGGGATAAGGTTAATAAATTTAAAATAGACCAAAACGAATTAAACTTGTACCATTAAAAAATACAAAGGGACCAACCATCTACCAGACCTGACAAGATCAAAGTAGAGCAGAAAATTTCAATTCAATTAAAAACATCTTTAGAGGCCATTTAGCAACACCGTTTTTCGGTTTATCAGACTTATCAACAAACTTTTCACCAAACACATAACTTTTGCTTTCACGCGTTGAATTGTGCATTAAGCAAAAAAAGTAAGGTTGAAGTTACTTTTCTGCCTGTATTGGCTGAAATTACTGTAGATGACCATTTTAGTTATTTCTACATATAATTTTTTCTTTATTTTATTAATAAAATATATTTTAAAAATAATTTTTTTCTTAAAACAACATAATCAGCCAAAGCAGTCACTTCGGTCAGAAGTTGATAAATTTTATCGGAATCAGTCAATTCAGCCGATTTCTGTGCTACCAAATGGGCTCTTAATGTGTTAGTAGATAGTACGGAGTGTTTTATAAGGATCAAAATAAGTAAAATTATCCTGGGCCTGTCTACTTTAGGATCTTGAAAACCGTTTTTGATTTCCTTTAAAAAGGGTCGTGGGTTCTCTCGCCTCTTGCAAAACCGTCACACTCGGTTTCAGTTTTCCAAACCCACGCCCCGCCGAAAATCTCTGCTGAGGTACTTCCACGATTGCTATTATTAGCCTCTATGGTGTTGAATTCTTTCTCAGTTTCATATCAATTTAGTGTTCGACTGTTCGTTTTATGTAAAATTATTATGATTCCTAATGTTGATGAAATATATTAAAAACGTTTCATCGGATTGATCTCAATAGCATCTGTCTGGCCGATTCCGGAGCGTTCCTCTGCTTCTTATATACCTAGGTTATTTGTGTTTTTAAAAATTTTAAGTGTTATAAGTTCAATTTTTGTATAGGTATATAACTAGCTTAGTAGCTTCCGTTGGAGAAGGAATTGAATAGTGATAAACTTGTACAGTAAATCAATTTTTAATTTTACTATATATTTTACTACGATTCCTAAGATGTGTACTTATATGGAGGCAATCCTTTTGGGCAGGTTAAATTAAATTCTCTTGATCTTAACTTTGATGTTTTTTGTGCTAAACCTTTTTCAGGGAAGTTGCATTGTTTCTCTGTTTAAACATACAGAAGTAGTACTTGAAGAGGAAATGGCAGGTATGAAATTTGTTGGGTTATGACAGTTTTTGTTGTTGTTGTATACACGTTTAAATAAGTGGTATTGCCATACTAAAAGCTGGTATCTGTAAATGAAGGTAGTGGAGATCAAGTTGCTGCATTGTTATTTTGGGGAGGTCAAGTAATAAAGAATGGATATCTCGGCTCTGTTGATTACTCTGAACCACCAAAAACGATGTGTTTCTTGAGTGGAAGGGGCAACAGGTATGAAGAACTGGTGGGGAAAGTGCACACTGCAATGAACGGCGATGACGGGGACACAATGTTTGACTTGTTTGGAAAGTACCCGACCACCCTTCCTGGAGGGAAAGTCCTGTTTGTTTCTATCCCTCTAACGGATGATCAATCACTGGAGTGGTTTTTGAATGTGGCTGCGCTTTCCCAGCCTGTTCATGTGTACGCGGTTGCTGCGCCAAAGAGAAACGATGAACCCGCGGACGACCTCCGCCAAGTTAAGAGGAATCAGCAGCAGCTGAATACCCCCACAGGTGCATTGATGGATATTGTTGGAGGTATTGGTCCTACCAAGGCCTCCCTTCCACTTTATTATTGACTTGCACCCCATGTTTACTCCCACTTTGGCACCTCTTTATTTGAATCTCTCCTAACCAATAATATGGCCATTTTGACTTATGTGGAGTGACCCCCTTTGAGCTGTCCTGTGCTGCCCTCCTTGTCTTTGCATCACATGTGAGTGTCCTTGTGTCTACCAGCCTATTATTTAGTAGCTTTGCTTCTCCCTTGTTGAAGCAGCCTGCGTGAATTATAGAGAGCAGTGCCCTTCTTCTTCTTCTCCATTTCCTTTGTGTGAGAGTGTGAGAGAGAATACCTTAGTGGTAGAGAAGAAGCTTGGAGTTGTGTTGTGGTCTAGCCTAGGGTGGTGTGTGAGAGTATAGCAAAAGGGTTGGAGACCTGAGCCGGAAAGAAATCGACACCCAACAGTGGTATCAGAGCTTGTGTTGTCGTCGCTGTCGATTTCGCCGGATTCCGCCACCTGGAAAGTATCCGCCGCCCGTCCGCCGCCGTCCGCCGCCGTCCGCCGCCGCTTGTCGATTTCAGGTTCTGGAGGTCACCGGTCGTTCGCTGAAGCTTGACTTGGTGCCGTTGCTTCCCGTTCGCCTCGAATCTAGTTCAGCCGCCACCTGGAAGTCCGCCGCCGCTGGGAGTTGAAGCTTCGTCATCACCGGAGTTAATTTGCCGCTTGCTAGTGCTGAATCGACGTCCATAAGCTGAGGTTGGTCCGAGTTCGCGCCGTCGATTCTCTGCTCGAAGAGGTCACGGACCATCACTGTTGGTCTAGCTCGCCGTCGCGTGGAGATCCGTCGTCGAATCCACCGCTGAAGCCGCCGTCGCCTGAGAGCTAGTCACGGTGGTCGCTCGTGGCTGGACCCATCTCTCGTCCATCGATGTTGCTCGCAGAAGGAACGCCGGAAAAGTCTGCTGCGTTGTTTTTTTTTCCTTCGATGGTCCGCTAGGTTGCTGAAGGAGAAGTGGGGCTGGACGGATGCTTACCTTGGAGCAGGAGAGTTGGACTGGATTCTGGGCTGTTGGGCTACGGACTGCTGGGCCGGGCTGTTTGTCTGCTGAAGCTGAAGCAGGAGACTGTTGCTGACTTGCTGGGCTTGAAGGTTTGGGCTGGACCTGGAGCACAAGAAATAATTGATCTACTGCTCGGTCAACTCAATCAAAGCACGGTCAACTCTGGTCAAAGGCAGTCAATAGTCAGTCAACGGTCCGAAAAAATCCCAATTTTTTAATTGGGTGGGTAAGGTCGAAACGCCTCTCCTAGGGTTTCGCTTCGGTATATTGACTTTTATCCCTTTTATCGCTTTTGTAGTGATTTTTAGTCTTTTATTGTGTAGAAATTATGTTTTAGGTTTATTACTGCTTTTAAATTGATTGAATTGTTGTATTGTGTTTGTGCTGAAAATTTATTATTTATTTGTGCTTATACGGAAGAACAAGGGGTTTGAAGTTGAGTTTGGTGCTCATTAATACTCCCCATGTGTTCGTGCTAGTTGCTCCGTATAGTTGTAGCCTTATAAATATTTAAATTGTTTTTCAGCAAAATTTACATTTTCTTTTGTTGCTTATTTTTCTCTGTGAAAATGTCTGCTTATAATCAGTATGGTATGGCTCCATTTAATGGAAAATCTGATTTTAGCATTTGGAAGCAAAAAATTAAATGTATTTTAATACAACAAAAATGTTTTAAAGCAGTTGGCGAAACCTATTTAATTTCTGACACGGAAGATAAAAGGGCTGAAATGAATGAAAATGCATGTTCTGTGATTTATTTGAACTTATCTGACTCTGTGATTAGAAAAGTTGGAATTTTAGAGAGTGCTAAAATTCTTTGGAATAAATTAGATGAACTGTATACCGAAACCTCTTTGCCTAACCGGATATTTTTACTTGAAAAGTTCTTCAAATTTAGACTAGATATGTCTATAGATATTGAAGAAAATCTAGATGTTTTTACCAAACTTATTTCGGATATTAAGTTGTGTGGTGATAAACATATAGATGATTATTCCCCTATTGCTCTTTTAAATGCTATTCCTGATTCCTTTAGTGATGTGAAATCTGCTATTAAGTATGGTAGAGATAATGTGACTCTTGACATTGTGGTTAATGGTCTTAAGAGTAAGGAATTAGATTTAAAACAGATGGGTGAGGGTAGAAAATCCGAGGAAGTTATGCATGTGAGGGGTAGAGAAAATAATAGTAGACGACATAGATCTAAGTCTAGGTCTAGTTCGAGGCGTTGCTATTATTGTCACGAATCTGGTCATTTCATAAGAGACTGTCCTAAATCTAAGAAAAATGAGCATAGTGAGCATGCTAATTTGACTACGTGTGTAGATGATTTAGGTGATGTGCTTATGATGAAAAATCTATGTGATTATGACTATTTGAGTTCTGTGATATCTGATTCCTTGGGTAAATCAGATTGGGTGGTAGATTCTGGTTGTACTTTTCATATGTCCCCTTTGAAAAATGTTTTTTCAAACTATAGAGAGATTGAGCATGGCTTTGTGTCTTTAGCAAATAAGAAGAAATGCAATGTGCTAGGAATAGGAGATGTATGTCTTAGGTTTTCTTCTGGTTATGTGCTTACTTTGAAGAATGTTAGGCATGTTCCTGAGCTATGCTGTAATTTGCTGTCTTGTGCTTCTCTTGAAAATGAGGGTTTGAAGGGAAAATGGGGAAAGGGAATCATGAAAGTTGTGAAGGGTTGCTTAGTTGTTTTCAAAGCTGAGATGAAAAACAACTTGTATGTTTGTCATGCTGAACCCGTACTTGATTCTGTGAATTGTGTGCAACCTTGTGTGCTAGGAAAACAGTCTAGAGTTGGTTTTCCTGATCTGCCTAAGTGTACTAATGTGCTTGATTGTATTCATGCTGACTTGTGGGGTCCTTATGGTGTTTCCACTCATGGTGGGAAAAATTATTTTCTGACGTTGATTGATGATTTTTCAAAGAAAGTGTGGGTTTTGTTGATTGAGAATAAATCTGAAGTTTTTGATAAGTTTAAAAACTGGAAAACCCTTGTTGAAAAACAAACCGGTAAGAAAATTAATTTTTTATGGACCACAGTCAGTTTTGATTTCTGTGATAGTCAGCTTGCTGATTTATGTGATACTTGGGGTATTTCTATGCATAAATCTGTTCCCTCCACACCCCAACCGGATGGGGTTGCTGAGAGGATGGTTAGAACGTTATTAGAGAGGGTGAGGGCTATGTTAGCTTCATCTGGGCTCTCTAATAAGTTCTGGGGGGAAGCTATTTGTTATGCTGTTGATTTGATTAATCTGTCCCCGTCTGTTCCCTTAGGAGGGAAATGCCCTGAATCTGTGTTCATGGGCAAACCACTTGACTTACCAAATTTGAGAGTGTTTGGTTGTGCTGCTTATGTGAATCGTGTGAATGATAAATCTGAACCTAGGACTAAGGAATATGTTTTCTTAGGATATCATGATTGCATGAAAGGTTATAGGCTTTGGTGTAGGAGTGAAACTTGTTTCAATGTGTTGATGAGTAGAAATGTCATTTTTGTTGAAAATGAATTTCCTTGCCTGCTTGTTTCTCCTGATGTTGCTCCAAATGAGGTGGAGCATTTGCCTGTTGAATCTCATTTGCCTGATGTTCATTCCGATTTACTTGTTGAAACCGAACCCAAATTTGTGGATGAAAATGATTTTCATGTTGAAAATAAAGAAAATAATATTTCTATTAAGGTGGAGCATGATATGAATGTTGTGTGCAATATGCTTGAGTTGCGTGATTGCCATGTTATTAGAGATAGAGACATTAGGAAGCATGTGAGAAATAATATGTGCAATGTGTTTGACTATATTTCCACTGAGTCTGCTTTAAATGTGCTTAATTCTCTTTTAATTAAAATCTTTGTGATATTTGGTATGCTATTTTCTTTGTGTTTTGAAAATGTGATACCATGTGATTATGTGAGCTCCGCCTGTGCTAGTTATAGAAATAATATTGTTTCTTTTATTTTCTTTGTACTTGCTTTGTGTGGTTGTTGGATTAGTTGGAATCCCCAACTTCTCCCGGATGCTTGCTTGCGTGGTCTATTAACATGTGTTGTGTTTGTTAATAGTTTTGTGATGGTTTTGGTTCTGAACTCGAGGACCGATTGGTAGAGTTCAGTCCATCGTGAAGTGGGTTTGCACGGTAAGCTTGGTCCGAAAGGGAACTTTGGTTCTCATCTATTACTTGTATGATCGCAATGATGTACTTGTAATGGTCCGGCGATGATGAGTCTCCTCACAACTTTGTATTGCTACTCTACACCACCTAGGACCAATAAGGTGGAGAATGTTGGAGGTATTGGTCCTACCAAGGCCTCCCTTCCACTTTATTATTGACTTGCACCCCATGTTTACTCCCACTTTGGCACCTCTTTATTTGAATCTCTCCTAACCAATAATATGGCCATTTTGACTTATGTGGAGTGACCCCTTTGAGCTGTCCTGTGCTGCCCTCCTTGTCTTTGCATCACATGTGAGTGTCCTTGTGTCTACCAGCCTATTATTTAGTAGCTTTGCTTCTCCCTTGTTGAAGCAGCCTGCGTGAATTATAGAGAGCAGTGCCCTTCTTCTTCTTCTCCATTTCCTTTGTGTGAGAGTGTGAGAGAGAATACCTTAGTGGTAGAGAAGAAGCTTGGAGTTGTGTTGTGGTCTAGCCTAGGGTGGTGTGTGAGAGTATAGCAAAAGGGTTGGAGACCTGAGCCGGAAAGAAATCGACACCCAACAGATATATATGTAAGAACCATGTCAGGGAGGATAATTAACCTGGAGATTGAATCTTCAGACACCATTGAGGATTCGAAGCATATGATTGAGGACTTGGAAGGTATCCCTGTTAAAGACCAGGTGCTCCTGTTCGGCGGCAGGAAACTCGACAACAGCCTCACTCTTGCTGACTATAACATCTCGCACATGTCCACTCTAGATCTCCTCCTCCGTCAATGTGGTTGTTGAGAGTGCACCACACATGCCCTCCAGCTCTTTCTGCACAAGCAGTTTCCTAATCTTTTGCTGATTGAAGTCATTGAATCTTTACTTTTGCTAGGAGTATTTAATTCAGGGTTTTATTATGCATTGGGTTTTATTATGCATTGGGTTTTATTATGCATTGGGTTTTATTTAATCTCTAGTATATATATACATCTACATTGTAGTGATTCCAATGAGAATATTTCTTATTGTGAGAAGTGAAAATAAATCATAATTACTAATTTTGTTAAATGATAAGCAATTAACTATGTGGTGCCCGATGGTAAGGTACAATCAAGGGAGTTGTTCTAACGACAACACTCCTTATTGTGAGAAGTGAAAATAAATTCTAATCACTATTCTTGTTAAATGATAGTCAATCTATTCTAATATAAAAGCAAAACAAATTTGTTGAATAGTGTTCCCGCCTAGAAGTGTCAACATCAAGTTTTATTTTATTTTTTCTTCAAAAATAATTATAAATCAAGTATGTTGTGTTCCTATTGGTCAAAAAAAGAGGTGGGAATAGTTCACAAAAAAGGAGTTGGTGCCTAGGAAAATCCTATGAAACTAGGTGTGTTCCCATTTGTTTAAAAAGAGGTGAACACTATTCACACAAAAATAGAAATGGTTTGTATGACATCTATTCTAATATAAAAGCAAAGTTTTTTTGTGAATAGTGTTCCCGCTGAAAATTCTAATCTATTATAATCTAATAGCAAAATGTTTTGGGGTTGGGATTCCCGCTCAGAAATGTCGCTATCAAGAATTAGTGTTAAAATTGTTCATTAAGCCAGTTTTCAGTTAATAAATTGGGATTGGTTTAATAGAGGATTGCGTGTGAGTGATATGTGAGATTAAATGAATGGAGCAAGTTGGTGTACGATTGGGATTTGCCCTGGATTTCCAACCCACTCTGAGGCTATTTCATTGGCCATTTTTTGGTGTGGCACTGTTTGAACAAATCAGTGCTACTGTTTAAACAAATCAGTGCACATGTTGGATTATAATGGATGGTTGGGTGGCACTGTTTAAATTTCAAATTTTATTACATACAGTGTTCCCCCCAGGCCATAAACATTTCCTATTGGTTAAATTTGAAGTGCAAACTGTTTCATTTCATTGTCTAGGCCATGCTCGCATCTATAAATGGACCAACAAACATGTTCCAATCCCCACAGCTCATCACAACCGAATCAAACAAAAACACAAGCAAAACTCCTCAAAGTATGGTTATGTTCCGTTATAAGAGCAAGACTCCCCTGCCATTAGACTCACATCCATTCGCATATCAACCTGCAGTAGCAAAAGAAGTAATAGATTTTTGTCATGGAAGAATACAAATGTTGCATGCAAGATGAAAATCAGAGCTGTTTAAGGTGATGAAGTAGTCTCTTAAACTCCTAATACTATGCCTTGAATCTCTAGACATTTTTTCCCAAAATTAAGAGTTTTTTAACTTTTGAATATGGTATGTTTATTTACTCTAACATTCATCAACTTATTAATTCATCATTACGTTTTACCCATGTTTTAACCACTGTTTATATTGAAACAACGGACTAAAATTCATGCAGATGCGTATCACAAAAAAAATGTTAGAGGTTGGTTATGTATGTGATGATAAAGCTGTTTTTCTTTGGTGCCGTTTGCTGCTTTACAGAAACGGATTTCATTGATGATAAAGCTGCATTCATTGATTTGTTATTACAGAAGTGAATGTTTGTAGGTTTGTTTAATTCAGTATTTATAAAAATTGTAATTTGAATTGTTAATTAATTATTGGCAAATGCAGATATCATTGGACAACTGGATAAAGACCCTAAGACGATCCTCAAAAATGAGGTCTAAGAAGTTGATTGAGCTCATCGTGGGGAGACACGGGATTAGTAAATTTTATCATCAAAGTGTACACTTGCTAGCAAGTTTAGATGTATCTCTAATTCATAAATCTGTGTTCTACAAGTGGAATGTCATTGCCTGCACGCTTTATAATTGTAATATGGATAAAAAAGGCGGGTTCAAGAGACATACCTGGGATCTTTGATGCCACTGCAGTCCTATTTATATCATAATCTAAACAGATTGAATTATTTATTATTACATTTCAAACTTGCATATAAATTGAGATACATCAAATGAATTTTACATGACAAGGAAGAACAAAACATGTCACCCATAGAAAATAAACCCTGGACCTGCATTCCAAATTAAAGTTCATTATTACCATAATGAAACACTTAGCAATTAAAACTTTTTAAATTCAATGTTTAAATGCTGTATTTGGCATATATTTTTTATTTGGCAGATATTATTACAGAGGTGTGGTGTCTTTGAAAGCCAATTAGAAAATTATTGGGAAATAACAAGATCAGGAAAAGGATCAATGAAATGGTTATTTGAAGATTTTGATAAAATATGTATGTATTTATCTGAGTCTGTTATCTATTAATGCATCATCAGTTGTAGAAAAAGAACTTCCACAGTTTTTGTTATTGTGGTTGATAAACAGATTGCCTTTGGGGTTAAGTGCATATTGTGCAACAAAAAAAAGTTTTAAAAGAAGTGTTTATTATTTGAAAAGATGAATACTTTAGTGGACTGAGGTGTGTGATTATTGTATATTAATATACCAAATGTCTTTTGTTTCTTATCTTTAGTGTGTATAAAAAAACAGTTCAGGGATTATGTTAGAGAGGTGTTTTTTTTAATATTAAAGAGGAATAAGAATATACCATTAGCATTGTGGTTGGCATGTGCGTCCTACAATGTACTTTGGCCCTTTTGCTAGCCTAATCGGATGAGCCGTTTGCTATATACAGTCCCCCCGGTTCCTCCCAGGTTAATTTGAAAGTAATGAACCAAAAAAGTAACATCCCGGGGCCTAAGCTAGCCTAATCACATTTTGACAAAAAAGTAATGAACCATGTTCAGAGACCTGGCAAATCTGTAGGTTGTGAATGTTGTGGTTTGTGTAGAATTCGATTAGGTTTTTGGTTCATGAACAACGGTTATTTGATGAAATGGATCCGTGGTGTAAAATTGATTGCCGGAATCGGAACCGTACCTGACTGCCTGAGGTAGACTGTGATTAGAATCAACCGCAACCGAATCACACACAGCATCAACTTCTGCTATCGTCCAAGAGAAGCCAACACCGTTGCACATTTCTTGGCTAAAGCCGGTCTCCAGGCCTCCGGGTCTCTCTCTTTCACACTCGACTCACTCCCAACCATGGCAAAAATAGTGTATCTAAACGATCTTTACGGAGTTTATCTCTTCAAAGACCCGGCTGAAGATGCGGCTGGAACATAGAACTGATAGAAGAGCCCCTCTCTCTCAAGAATATTCTGGAGAATGGGGTTTTTACTTTTTACGTATTGTGGGATGTTGTGCCACGCTCTAATGATTTAATTCCTTTGGACAGTTATTGTTCCTCTTCCATTTGGGCCTATACAACTTGGACCCGTTTTGTTACTTCGTTTATATATGCAAAAAAACAAAACAAAGTTACTACGTTTTTCATTGAGTGTAAATAATGGATTCATATTCATGAAGTACGGAGTATTTAGTTGGACTTCTAAAAATGCCTTTTTTTAAGAGACGCATATATGATCTATTTTTAACACTAATCGACTATAATGTATAATAATTATTATTAATTTATGATTGAGGGCCATATAATAGATTAGGCTTTATGGGTGTTTGTCAATTGGCTGTTGGTTGTTAGCTGATTGTGTTGGTCAATTGATAATAGCGGATTCTGTTGACTGTTTTCATTAGCTGTTAGTGTTAGCCGTTTATAAAATGGTGTTTGGTTAAACGGCTGTTTATAATTAGCTGATAACTTATAAAATTACTATTAAGGATATGTATTATTTTTTACTTAAAGTAATTAATATAACATCCTAAGCTAAATCGTTCGTATGATTTAAAAATGTAAAATTTATTTTACATCAACAACAATCTTTCCTAATCTTAACCGTCAACATCATGTGAGTCACTTATCCATTCACAAAAACAAATTTAAAAAGAAAGGAATTCAGAAGTTTTAATTTTTGAATGACTTTGTACGTGTTGCTTTGGCTAATCCTGTAGCACTTTTTGGAGGCCCATGCTCATAAGGTTCCATCCTACTGTTTGAACAAATTTGAGGATCTCAGTGGCACTGTTTTGATAAAGAAACTCCTATCGGTGGAAGGAGAGGTGGGTACAACCTAACGATTTGAGGAAAAATGTTTTTTAAAGTTGCGTGTTCATAGTTTAAACTTTAAACAATGTACAGACCTGTGCGTGTAAATGTGTATTTTACCCCTATTTGATTCTACTCAAATTTATGAAAATGTTTTTGATTTAGATTTAGCGCGCGAAATCAAAAGTTACGTCTTTTGCAAAAAAAGTTGGCTGATGAGATTGATAAGCCGAAAAACATGGTTACCAAACGGGCTCTAATTATGCTTAAATGATACGTAGTACTATTTCTTTTTATTTGTGGACTCAATTGACATGTTCGATATAGTAGAAGAGTCTATTTGAACATTTCCGCATAAATTTATATTCATGTATAGTTTAAAAATGACATAACACATCTTCACATATTTGCACCTCTCTGTTTTGACGGTTTATTCGTCTAAAATGCACTTTGTACATATGTAAAGTTAGTCTATTACTTACTCATTATAAATAATTTAACTTTAATTAATGTATATAAACCTCTTGAAATGGAAAAATCATTTGTCAAAATCATTTGTGCATCGTTTCTGCAAAGCATTTTACTAGAAGGAAGGATTTTAAGAGGGGTTAGTTCGAGAGAGAAGGTATTTGAAATAGGGAAAATGGAAACTAATAATCCAACCTTTTAGCGGTTTTCTTACAATAATCCAACCTTTTGGTTATTCATGAATAATCTAACCTTTGCACCTCATCTTCATTCACTGGTCCCTGATCGGTTGATGACCTGCTATTCGAAGCTATTTTCTTATCTTTGCAAAATATTATCTTTGTGAAAGAGGAAATTTATGGTATAATGATTTGCAAAGATAAGAAAATAACTTGGAATAGCAGGTCATCAACCGGTCAAGGACCAGTGAATGAAGATGTGGTGCAAAGGTTGGATTATTCATGAATAATCAAAAGGTGGGATTATTAAAAGAAGACCGCTAAAAGGTTGGATTATTAGTTTCCATTTTCCCTTTGAAATATTTGAAGGACATATTTTTGTCAATTACTCCTACAAAATTTCAAATTGCATTTTAAAATAAGTAGAATTTGTTAGATTTGTACACTCATTATTGCAATCGACCTCAATCAGTAATACATTTCACATAATCTCATTATTGGTCGGGTTTCTGGATGATGGCGTTAATGGTGGAACCTATCCGATCGTTGTTGGTTTTTCGATGATATAAAAAATTATTCATAAGATATCGGTTATGAAAATCAGAGATTGAAAAAATCCTTTACATTTAGTTTGAGTCAGCTTTCGTTAGTTCGGGTTCGGTCTAGGATCGAATAGAGCCGGTTAAGGACCGATTGAAGAATTATCATATTTGAGTGTTGTTTAATAATCCCATAACACACTTTCACATATTTGCACACCCCCCTGATTTGCCAATTTACCCGGGCAATTCGTATAAAAAATGCAATTCGTATAAATGAATAGTCACCATATTACTTGATATGTTTATACTTAGACTTATTTCAGTCTCAAACCAAACCAAACTTAAACAAACCAGACCAGACCACACTTGGATATTTGAAATAGTAGAAGCACTTATTTGAACATTTTCTCACAAATTTAGATTCAAGTATAATTCTAGAATGACATAACACACTTTCACATATTTAACTCTCTTATTTTACCTGTTTAGAGAGACAATTAGTGTAAAAAAAATGCAATTCGTGTAAATATAGTCACCTTATTACTTAGTCATCATACACAATTTACCTTCAACTAATTTATATAAATCTTTGATTTTTGGCAGGTGTTGTCGGTGATACCTCATGGGAGTAGACATGATGTAGTCAATGTGATGATTAATTTATCATATTTGTGGTCGGAATGCACACTCCTTTGTTTGATAAAAAAATATGCACCTGCAGAACACGACTAATTCATCATATTCTTACGATTTGAAGGTCTTTTCAGATTGGATTGCCAACATTGGTGACAGTGTTGCGGGTAAAAGTAATGATAGTCATGTTCGTATTATTATTCCTGAAGATCCATTGATACGCAGATGGAGATCCTATAGCTGCGAATGTTGAAAGCATGTTTCCGGAATATGTTGAATCTACAGGTGATATGAGTTGTCTGCGCGACCGTGCAATCTTGGCACCGACACTGTCTGTGGTTGAAGCTGTTAATGAGACTATATGACGGCTCTTAATGTTGGTGAAGTTTCAAGAACATATCTTAGTTCCGACAGTGTTTCTAAGGTAGATTCTATGACCGATCTAATGGCAGTACTGCACACAACTAAGTTCTTGAATAGTACTCCTTTCGTCCCATTTTATGTGTTCTACTTTCCTTTTTGGGTTATCCCAAAATAAGTGTCTCCTTTTCTTTTTTTGAAAAAAAATATGTGGCCTACACTATTTCACTTTATTATACTCAAACCTCATCCACAATTTTTACTATTTCAACCACTTCAGTAATAATCGTGTCAAGTCAAACTAAGACACCTAAAATGGGACGGAGGTAGTATAAAATTGTCTGGTGTACTGAATAATGAGTTAATGTTAAAGGTAGGGACCCCTGTGATGCTTTTGCGAAATATCGATCATTCAATGGGGTTGTGTAACGGGACACGTCTTATTCTAACGAGGTTGGTGATCGTGTTTTGGAGGGGGAAACTTTAACTGGTGTGAATGTTGGACAAAAAGTGTTAATGCCTACATTGTCCTTGACGCCATCCGATGCCAGCTTGCCTTTCAAATTTCATAGGTGACAATATCCTGTTATGACTTCATATGTTATGAGT